AAGATGGCTGCCTGTCGGCCATGTTGTTTATCCGATCAGTCTTAAAAGTTGCCTTGCACAGATAATGACCAAGGGGAACCTAAATATAAAGTTTAAAAATGATCCCTCAAGTACTTCCAGAGAAATAGTGATAACAAACCTACACTATCAAAATCCAAGATGGCTGCCTGTCGGCCATGTTGTTTATCCGATCAGTCTTAAAAGTTGCCTTGCACAGATAATGACCAAGGGGAACCTAAATATAAAGTTTAAAAATGATCCCTCAAGTACTTCCAGAGAAATAGTGATAACAAACTTTCACTATCAAAATCCAAGATGGCCGCCTGTCGGCCATGTTGTTTATCGGATCAGTCTCAAAAGTTGCCCTATAGAATTTGAGAAAGATCCCTCTGGTACTTTTTGAGAAATAGCGATAACAAACTTTCAATATCAAAATCCAAGATGGCCGCCTGTCGGCCATGTCGTTTATCCGATCAGTCTCAACAGTTGCCCTATAGAATTTGAGAAAGATCCCTTTGGTAATTCTTGAGAAATAGCGATAACAAACATTCACTATCAAAATCAAAGATTGCTGCCTGTCGGTCATGTTGTTTATCCGATCAGTCTCAAAAGTTGCCCTATAGAATTTGAGAAAGATCCCTTTGGTACTTCTTGAGAAATAGCGATAACAAACATTCACTATCAAAATCCAAGATTGCTGCCTGTCGGCCATGTTGTTTATCCGATCAGTCTCAAAAGTTGCCCTGCACAGCTAAGGACCAAGGAGAACCTAAATATAAAATTTGAGAAAGACCCTCTGGTATTTCTTGAGAAATAGCGATAACAAGAATTGTTTTAGGACGGACGACGACGGACGGACCACGGACGCAGGGTGATTTGAATAGCCCACCATCAGATGATGGTGGGCTAATAAAATACCACTGCTCTCCTACACACAAGTATAGCTATCCCTATACCACCTCTCAGAGTGTACGGTACACTTGTTAGACCCCAAGCTGTGCCCTTGAGAGGACAGATGACAAAGTGTGGCTGAGAGAGAAGACAAGTACTACTCCACTACATACTGTCTGACACTTTGGGGAGTAAACATCACTTCACTACACTCTCAACAAGGAAAAGAACATTTTATTTCATTACACCACAAGCACTTCCAGCGACTCTTCCCCAGGAATCAATATGGTCTGTGATAAGGGTAAAAAACAGCCAGATAAAAAAATGATAAATAATAACAAACTTTCATGAATTTATATAAACTAGAAAATTGTAAATCAGTAATCCAGTCAATTCACTGAAACAACTCTAAATAAAATTAACTTATATTTTTTATTTGGTTATCATTTAAAGAATTCTTTTTGTCAGATATAATTTTTAAATGTGAAATCTTATAACACCAGTTTTAAATGTGAAATCTTTTAATACCAGTGGCATTTTTTATTCCAATAACATGGTATTGCCAACTTTTTTCTTTTTTAAAATGAATCCCCACAAATGTGTCAAACAGTGAAAAAGTCAAAATACTTAAAAACCCAAGTTTAGATAGCATTTGATCAAAATTAAAGACACCATTTGAATTATTGTCAACTTGGAATACCTGTGAAAACTTGAGCCGTTCATCCAGTTCTCTCCGGTCTTTGTCTGAAGAGGCAAGCTTGATCTTGAGGCTGGATATTTCCGCCATCATGTCTAGTTTGTGCGTCTCTAGTGACGTCCGCGTCAGTAGTTCCTGCAAAATAAACACTTACAACATAACGATAAAGCGACAAAGTATTTAACACTGACAAAGTGGTAACTCGCACTGGAAATGAATGCTAACGGATGGAAATGAGAATAATGAACAACCAATTAATAATTCAAATGTCGATTATAATTCAAAAGTTTGAACTTTCAGCATAAATTGGAACATAACAGACATCATACTTGTCAATGCAACCATTCCAATTCTAAACGGGAGAAACTAGTCCTGAGAATAGCACACTGAAGTCTATAAATGTGTGAACCCCAACTCACCTCCTATGTTAACAGCATAAGCGTAAATTATCAGAGTTAAAGATGTTCTAGGCGAGAGATTTGTAAAACAAAATTTTTTAGGTATCCCATCCCAAACTAAGAGACTTAGCCAGTTCGTACGTACACGACATACAATGAAATGTTCTATAAGTTGAAGTGTTCATAACAGAAAATTGGGACAAATCCTGGTTCTACATGTAATACAGGAAATAACTGATAAATCATGTAAAAATATCCTGAATCAATGTTTAGCCTCTACATTACAAGTGAAGATCCTGATTCAGATTACAGCCTCCTAAACCTGGCACCTGGCCATATATTTACCTCTTTATACATATATTCTTGTTACATTATAAATAAACTGTATCATGAACTCAAAATCAAGGTGTAACTCTTGGTTTATACGGAAACTTCCATGACAGTTGTATACAATTGACCAATTAGAACATCATTATCAGCACTCATTAAACTTTTATCAGGACCTTAATTAACGTTACCTTACAATTGTATGTACACCTCAATACATTATCATGGATGAGTATAAATATAAAACACAATTTCCTCTGTCTTGTACGACAGCTTTGTATTTGTTAATATTTTATTTCACTATTTATTTAGCCAATAAGAACATGTATACTGGACATGTTATCACCAGGTGTGGTCACAAATCCTTGTATAATTAACTTTTTACACAGTATCACGACCAATCACTTGAGCATATGGTCTTTTGCCATTGGTCTAGATCTACGTATACAATCAGTTATTATTTGAATGAAACGTGTCAGCAGTTATCATCTAAATTTTTATAAAGCAACTTTAAAATCATCAAGACTTAACATATCCGAGAGGTCGACCCATTGAGAGGGATTATTGTCCTGGGCAAGTTATTTTGAACACTGATGGTTTGTCTGCAGTTGTACTTTTAGAGGTATATTGGTCTGGATAAGAGATTTTGACCCTACCAAAGGTTTATCTGTGGCACCATGAACACCCAAAAACTTAAAACGCTCAGTGTTACCGTTCAGTGCTACCGATTCTGACTAGAAATAGCTAGACAGGGTCCCAAGATACCATAGCAGACCAGGGCATCTGTCATGATAAGAGACAGGGAGGAGTGTTTACACAATATCATATTTACCTTACAGCAAGTAAAACAAACAAGTACTCTCATCTGAGGAGTTGGAGTGATGCTGGCCATGTGTGTCTAGCATTGCTATAGGTGATGCTGGGGTGTCTAGTGTGCTGGGGTGTCTAGTGTGCTGGGGTGTCTTGTATTGCTATAGGTGATGCTGGGGTGTCTAGTGTGCTGGGGTGTCTTGTGTGCTGGGGTGTCTGGTATTGCTATAGGTGATGCTGGTGTGTCTAGTGTGCTGGGGTGTCTAGTGTGCTGAGGTGTCTAGTATTGCTATAGGTGCATGATGGTGGGGTGTCTAGTATTGCTAAAGGTGATGCTGGGGTGTCTAGTGTTCTGGGGTGTCTAGTGTGCTGGGGGGTCTTGTATTGCTATAGGAGATGCTGGGGTGTCTAGTATTTCTATAGGTGATGCTGGGGTGTGTAGTGTGCTGGGGTGTCTAGTATTACTATAGGGGATGCTGGGGGGTCTAGTATTGTTATAGGTGATGCTACGGTGTCTAGTATTGCTATAGGTGATGCTGGGGTGTCTAGTATTGTTATAGGTGATGCTAGGGTGTCTAGTATTGCTATAGGTGCATGATGCTGGGGTGTCTAGTATTGCTATAGGTGATGCTGGGGTGTCTAGTATTGCTATAGGTGCATGATGCTGGGGTGTCTAGTATGCTGGGGTGTCTAGTATTGCTATAGGTGATGCTGGGGTGTCTAGTATTGCTATAGGTGCATGATGCTGGGTTGTCTAGTATTGCTATAGGTGATGCTGGGGTATCTAGTATTGCTATAGGGGATGCTGGGGTGTCTAGTATTGTTATAGGTGATGCTGGGGTGTCTAGTATTGCTATAGGTGATGCTGGGATATCCAGTATTGCTATAGCTGATGCTGGGGTGTCTAGTATTGCTATAAGTGAGGCTGGGGTGTCTAGTATTGCTATAAGTGATGCTGGGGTGTCTAGTATTGCTATAGGTGATGCTGGGGTGTCCAGTATTGCTATAGGTGATGCTGGGGTGTCTAGTATGCTGGGTGTCTAGTATTGCTATAGGTGATGCTGGGGTGTCTAGTATTGCTATAGGTACAAAGGGACAGGAGGTAGCACAGTTCCACTAGCCTGACAGATACTTACCCCAGGACACCCTAGGACTAGTATGATTTAATAGAAGAACCAAGTAAAAATCTTCAGTATCTACTATGAAAATAACTGGCCTAATATTGTCAAAATCTGCCCAAGGGTTAGTACTCTAACTATTAAATTGGACACCTGTGTTGAAGATCTGTGTTGAGAGTACATATTGTTAGGGAAGGAGCAAAGCTTGGGGAGGGAGAGCAAAGCTCATTACTTATTGGGATAGATTACAATAACCATGAAAAAAATGCAAATGCATTGAAGAATTCATATGCCACAGAATTGTTTTTCAGTTGGAAGCTTGAGCGAAAGTTCAAACTAGAACATAGTTTTCCCAGAAGGAAGAAACAAATTTGTACAGTAAACAATATCACTTACTGTTAGGTATTTAGAATTGATATATGAGACAAGGTAACTGGTTAACCACAGGGCACCATCAGGCTCTTCATTACAGAACAAGCATACTACAGTCAAAGTCAACCAAGACTGACTATGTATATTATTCGTGTGATGGGATGGGAGGGGTGATGGGACTATGTATAGGTACTGTCCATGTTCTGTACAGGTTATTGTACTGTGGGGAGGGGAGAAGGGACAGGAGACAGGAGGGGAGAAGGGACGGGAGACAGGAGGGGAGAAGGGACAGGAGGCGAGAAGAGACAGGAGACAGGANGACTATGTATAGGTACTGTCCATGTTCTGTACAGGTTATTGTACTGTGGGGAGGGGAGAAGGGACAGGAGACAGGAGGGGAGAAGGGACAGGAGGGGAGAAGGGACGGGAGGGGAGAAGGGACGGGAGGGGAGAAGGAACGGGAGATATGAGGGGAGAAGGGACGGGTGAGAAAGTAAGTGATCTGTTGAGACACAGCAGGTAGATGGTCTGAGTGTGGGGAGTGTCTGATCACCAAAGGGATGGTGTACCTGCCTGGGAGAGTGAGAGAGGAGTTTGATCAGCTGATAATCAGCTGTCTTACTAAACCTTGCACAGCTGCATCAAATATGAAGACATAAGGAGACTACAGACAGAAATGTAAACCTATCACAGGAAACAAACTTCTGTTTCTGTCTGTCTTCTCCTAACCTATATAACACTGTTTCTGACTATCTTCTCCTTACCTATGTAACACTGTTTCTGTCTGTCTTCTCCTTACCTATATAACACTGTTTCTGGCTGTCTTCTCCTTACCTATATAACACTGTTTCTGTCTATCTTCTCCTTACCTATGTAACACTGTTTCTGGCTGTCTTCTCCTTACCTATATATCACTGTTTCTGTCTGTCTTCTCCTTACCTATATAAGACTGTTTCTGTCTGTCTTCTACTTACCTATGTAACACTGTTTCTGTCTGTATTCTCCTTCCCTAGATATATACCACTGTTTCTGTCTGTCTTCTCCTTACCTATATAAGACTGTTTCTGTCTGTCTTCTCCTTACCTATATAAGACTGTTTCTGTCTGTCTTCTCCTTACCTATATAACACTGTTTCTGTCTGCCTTCTCCTTACCTATGTAACACTGTTTCTGTCTGTATTCTCCTTCCCTAGATATATACCACTGTTTCTGTCTGTCTTCTCCTTACCTATATAAGACTGTTTCTGTCTGTCTTCTACTTACCTATGTAACACTGTTTCTGTCTGTATTCTCCTTCCCTAGATATATACCACTGTTTCTGTCTGTCTTCTCCTTACCTATATAACACTGTTTCTGGCTGTCTTCTCCTTACCTATCTAACACTGTTTCTGTCTGTCTTCTCCTTACCTATCTAACACTGTTTCTGTCTGTCTTCTCCTTACCTAGCTATATATCACTGTTTCTGTCTGTCTTCTCCTTACCTATATAAGACTGTTTCTGTCTGTCTTCTCCTTACCTATATAAGACTGTTTCTGTCTGTCTTCTCCTTACCTATATAAGACTGTTTCTGTCTGTCTTCTACTTACCTATGTAACACTGTTTCTGTCTGTATTCTCCTTCCCTAGATATATACCACTGTTTCTGTCTGTCTTCTCCTTACCTATGTAACACTGTTACTGGCTGTCTTCTCCTTACCTATATAACACTGTTTCTGTCTATCTTCTCCTTACCTATGTAACACTGTTTCTGGCTGTCTTCTCCTTACCTATGTAACACTGTTTCTGTCTGTCTTCTCCTTACCTATATAAGACTGTTTCTGTCTGTCTTCTCCTTACCTATATAACACTGTTTCTGGCTGTCTTCTCCTTACCTATGTAACACTGTTTCTGACTATCTTCTCCTTACCTATGTAACACTGTTTCTGTCTGTCTTCTCCTTACCTTTATAACACTGTTTCTGTCTGTCTTCTCCTTACCTATATAACACTGTATCGGTTTGACTTGATTGTGTTCTACTGTTTATCGTGGCAACTACAACAATTCAACATGTCACAGGGAAACAGCTGCACTTGTTACTAATACTCAACAGTCATAAATTTAACTTATAACTGT